GCCGCGCGCCCTCAGGGGCAGAAGGAGCAGCAGAGGCCCGAGGGCTCCTACAAACCGCATGGCATCACCTTGGCGAGCGGGTGAGAAAGAAGGGACCTCACTTGACTCTAGGAAAGAAACGGTAGGATGGGGGCGGTTTAACAGAGCGATGGCACCCCGCCATGCACAAGCTCCCACAGAGACGTGGCACAGATACAACCTCACCTGGTCGGGAAGGAGATGCAGCCAGGGTTTGGACTCGTGTCTTATCTCCCACCTCTCTCTGGTAGGATGGCGGCTACAGTCAGAAAATCTGAGGCAGCGCTGGCAGAAATTGCGTCTGGGGCCATTGGGATACGTTCAGCACAGTAGATTTACATGCAAATATCTGCTCTTCATTATCTGAAGGTGAGTGGGCAGCCCAGTGTTGGCGCTGGCTCTGGAAAAGGCCAGGAGCGCAGGATCCAATGGGGAGCCTGCCGCTCGCCATCCGTGTCTTGCTGCTTTCTCCCAAAACATGGCACAGAGCTGCTCGGCAGTAGGGTTGTTCCTGGGAATTTCTCTCAAAAGCAAGAGATTCTGCAAACTTGCCATGTTTTAGGACACGAGAAAACAAATGGGATTCAAACATTCCCAAAGGAGAGAACTGAACACACACAGCAGTTTGGAGTTGTAGGTTTGATTTCCTAGGATAGGGTCCTTATAGACCTGGAAATGGCCCCTTCCCCAGGGGAAGTTTGGGACAGGCTGGTGGCCTTTTTCCAAAAAAAAAAAAAAAAAAAGTCACTTTTGAAAAGTCACGAGCACAGGGTAGTATTTACCAACCCTCTGGCTGCCTCGGTAATAAGAGAACATTTCTGTTTCTGTCAGACCTGTGTTAGCTGTTCAAAGCGGCCTCAAAAAGCAATCAAGGGAAAGAAGCAGCAGAACAAATCAGAAGAAAAGCCTGGGAGTTAAGAAAGAAACCTGGCCCTGCTTTACTTCTGAGAGAAGAAATCCCCCAGCAGATTCTGAAAACGCTGTCACCCTGCAGCGTAGGAAATTTAAGGTGGCTCGAGGAGCAGAGGAGAGATTTGGTTAAGCTTTCCCGTGCCAAGCCTTGGGTTTTGCCTACTTTGCCATATTTGCAGTGCACTTACGGTTGGAGGGTTTGGTGGCTGCCTCGGCATGAGGCTAATTTTTTCCTAGGTGCCTTCAAACGACTGCTTCCAAGCATGGACAGACCGGGATATTCTACTTTCTTCCAGCCATCGCACGGGTGACTGCAGCACTGCATCTTTTTTGTTTCCCAAGCTCAAATGTGTCTTTTTTTTTTCCTTTTAACTGCTGTTTTGAAACCACGCTGCTAAGCGTGTGAGAGGCAGTATTTGAGTTCAGTGGCATATGTGGAAGTCCACACGGTTCACCCTGATTTCATTATTCCCCCTTTTATTGTTTGCAACTGTCATTATCTTTCTGGTCATCTGAATAAAAAAAAAAAAAAAAGGTTTGGCGGGGTCTACCTCAACGAGATGGAAACTTGTGCCGCAACTGTGACAATATTTGCAGCCCATATTTAGACTCTGCTCTGGGGAACAGACACGCTGTTTCCAAGGAGCAATGGGCTCTGGTTAGGAAATCCAAGGCCCAAATCCAGGTTTTTGACATCCCCGTTAATTGAATTTAAGGAGAAAATCTGATTTGTTCCAGTGCACGTTCCTTTGCTTTTACGTCAAGCCTTCTTCTACCTGAAGTCCTTGCTTCCAAATCCATCCACACTCAAGCTGAAAGCAGGAAACACCACCGCAAACATTTTCCGACGACTCTTTGGAGAAAAAGGAGCCCTGCCGACGGTGGTACGAGACTTTGGGCAGGCGCGGGCTGGCGATGCCGTTCTGCCCACGCAGACCTACCGAGCAGCACCAAGGCAAGGGCTTTGCTGGGGAAACCTGGCCCACACCGGCAAGGACGGGCCTGCCCAACCACGGTAGCTCTGCGGGGAGCCCCGTTTGCTTCAGAAGGCGCCTCCAGGGCCCGCCTTCGTCTCTGGTTCCGTTAGGAGACTTTCCCCGCGGGCGCCAGCTCCGCTCGCGCGCGGCTAGAGCCGCTCGCGGGGCCCGATGCCCCCGGGGGCCCC